ATTTTATTGAAAATAATAAAGTATTTTTAAAATAAAAAACTTTTGTTATATATAATAATTAGATTAATTATATTAATATTTTAAAAACGATTTATTTAATATATAATGAAGATATTATAGAATTTATGGTAATTACGAAAGGATCACTTCGTTAACCACGGATTCTGCCACTACAGGGTGACCACTGATTTCAATTAGGCTCACAATCAACATAGTTTGTTGATCTTGAGGGGTTTCATCTCGTTGGATTAAAGGATCGATCGATCTGCTCTTCTTTTTCATACTGCTTCTTCCTGTCAAACATGATCGAGGTACTCTGTTTTTGCTTCGCTGTAATTAGTGTAACTTTTTGTATATTTAATTTCCGCGCCGCTCACTATGGAGTTTATCGTTCTGTTTGATACCTCTTATGTACCTCGTTGGACATTGAGTTTTTTTATTCACAGCCAAATCGGGATTACTTATTGTAATAAATGTGGTCTATATGCGCTCCCCTGACATTTGGCATATATAACCTAGCCACCTTGCGTCAAATGTGTCATTTCCCGGTACGTTCGTTCCACTCTACTCGGCGGGCATATATCCTTGAATTGTTCGCTATGTGCAGACGAGTCCTAAGTTTGTCTGGTTCATCTCGGTGAATAGCTTCGAAGTCAATTTCAATGTATCAAACACCGAGTATTAGTGACTTTTGGAGGTAAGATTTTATATTATAATAAAATAATATTATTATAATATTTAGTGGAAGACTTAGTCAGATTTAGCTTAGGGATAAATCGAATATATGATATAATAGTAGAACTGAAGTCAAATTATAGGGATGAATTGAATTGAATTTAATTTGCTTATTTTTCTTGGTTTTCTTTAAAGAATCCTAGGTTTATATAGTCTATAATGAATTCTTATATATTTCATGCTTATAAATAAGATTGATTTAAATCGAATCTTATGGAATCATTTTATATAATAAAAAGAAAGTATAACCAATCAAATTTAATCAATTTAACAATAATCTTCTATATATTTCCATTTGATTCTATTCTATTCTAAATCAATTTGATAAGAGATACTAGTATATAACTATCTGATAATATAATTTTATAATATAGAATCATATTACAAATATATTAGTCATCAAGATATTTCTTAATTAGTAAGATATTAATAAGTGATTTAACAGGCTTATTATGGATTTTCACAGTGACATTCGAAATGAAGGTCTTTAATTATGAGCAAAGGTTTTCTTACTTAGCTTCGCACTTGTGGTTCATCGGTATGTCCAAGGTGTTTTTCAAACCACTTCTATATGTCCGACGCTTGACGATTTGTTTGCTTGACATGTTTCTTCGATTTCCTTCACATGCAGCACTCACCTCAATACCTTTACATCTCCGATCTCCTCTAGTGTTTGTACTAGTATACGGTAGTATAATAGTGGTGTGTATTAACTCTTTAATATAATATCTCGTATATATAGAGGGATTATATCATTTCTATTAATATTAAATATACAATAAAAACCCCGAATGTTATTATTCCATATATTGATATCTTAATTAATATATAATAAAACGAAATATTATTCTTTCGTTATATTGTTACTAGATTTGTAGACTAGTAAATTTCGAATCTAATATATAATCTTTCAGGAATTAATAAAATAGAAAAAAAAATATAATTATTAATTAGAATTTAAAAAATTCAATTATATAGTTTTTTTAGAATTATCTTCAAAATTAAAATTAAAATCTAATATAATAATATTTCAATAATAAGAGGATTAATATTAAAGCTTAATCAATATAGTAAAACTAACTAGAAAACTACTAAATTGAATTTTGATTTCAGTTTTTGAGATAATTCAAAATAAATTATCTTGTTGAATTTTTTAATCTTTAATTAATAATTGTATCTTTTTTTTTTTTTTTTGTTAATTCCTAGAAGGTTTTATATCAGACTGAAAGATTGATAAGTATTACAAAATATTAGATGAGATTATTTTAGTTATAAATCTAATATTTGAGGTATTAATATATGAAATAATGATATTCGGGGTTATCACTATTAAACATATTAAATATTATTAGAAAGATATGGATGTCACGGAGCCAATTACATGCTTTATAGTTGCCTTCGTGTCTCAAGTATTGATCACTAGTGTGTTCTACTTCTTATAAGTAGGGCCTTTCTCTTCTATAGCTCTTCTATCCTTATGGTACAGTATAAGTATTTACCTGTACTATGATAATAGGAATACAGGAATTCGATCCGGAATATCTCTCTTCATTCTGAAATAGATCTGGGAATAGATATCCAAAAGATATTGATAAATTACTAATCTATTTCAGATAAAACAGAGATATTTCAAATCGAAGTCCTATATTCTTATATTTTTCTAATAACATTCAACATTATTTTTATATTGAATATCTTTAGTGATATATAAATCGATATTATCTACATAAATAATTTCGAAAACATTGATATATATCACTATACGGACCAATATACAGAATACAAGCAATAATAGTAAGAACACTGATCTCCTCAATGTGTGGTAGCCCATCAATCAGTCTCTTGGCCTACTTTTATCATTCGTTCCACATGGGGTGACCGATTAATCGGTTTCCTGGCCTGCCCTTCTGACCCTCTTCATATGCGGTGGCAGATCAATTAGAATCTATCTTCAGAGGTCGATTAATAGGCTTCTCGATATGTCTCTCCAAGCCTGTTCGTATTCTGTGAATAATCCATGGGCAGTGTTCGTACTAGTATACGGTAATACAACGGTAGCATACATCAAGCTTCTAATATAAGAATTTAGATATATAAAAAGTAATTATATTACTTATATTAATATTCAAAATATTAAATATTATTAGAAAGATATGAAAATACAGGAATTCGATCTGGAATGTTCATTTTTGTACCAAAATAAATCAGGAATAGGGATTCTAATAAATATTTATAAATTTCTAATCCATTTTAATACAAAAATGAACATTCCAGATCGAATTCCCGTATTTCCATATCTTTTTAATAATATTCAATATTAAAGCAATATCGAATATCTTTAGTGATATATGAATAGATATCATTTATATGAATATCTTCAAAACAATTGATATGCACCACTATACAAACTAAAATACAGAATACGAGCAATACTAATAAGAACACTGTTTATGGGTCCTTTAATCTGCTTTTTTAACCATCCCTATAAGTGGTACACCACCTTTCGGTCTTTGAGTATGCCCCTTATTCCCTCGCTCGGCTCGTATAACTTTGTATCTCCACTATCACCTAATTGCACTTCTCTATACAAACTTCCTTTGTATTCTCGATTTCCATCATCTGCGGCATTCGAAAAATCCACTCGTTACCTCTCTCCGACTTCCAATCTAATCCTTCACGTAGATAGCGTGCCAAGAATTGCTACTTGAGTATGCTCATGCTATCCTCCCTAGATGCGGAGCTTGGTTCGTATCCTTTTGAATCTCAAATCACCCCTAATTGTACTGCTCGGTATACAGTCCTTTTCTGTTTTTGAATCTCTTCATGTATTGCACTCAACGCATAGGCTACTCGATACACCTACCTTATTTTCCGTGTTGCGTTGAAGGCATTGGCTCCTCCGCACGTCTTCTCTATCCTTTTCGTGGCCCTAAAGTAACTGTTTCTGCGGTACGTCCTCCCATTTCCCTTTTGTGCGGCACTCAATAAATTGGTCCTCCAACAACCCCCTACGATCATCCTTACTCCAGTACTAAACGGACTGCTTCTCTGGAACTCTCCCCGTGTTCAGCACTCGAAACATTCGTCCCCTGGTGGGCCATATATAGCAGTCTGCGTAAAAATCTGGGAGATCTAGAATACCCCTTGCAAATATCAAAACCGACTGCAAGGTCCTGGATAGCAGCCTGTATAGAATCCTGCGCGATTGCAAGCATGCAATTGGAAATTTCGGTATCAATTGCATGGACACGAATAGTAGTCCGTATAACATCCGGGGTGATCTAGAATATGCTATTAGCAATATCCATATTGACTGCAAGGCAACGAACGGTAGCCTGCATGAAATCCTGGGAGGTCCAGAATGTGCTATTAGCAATACAGAAATTGGAGAGCCGCAACTTTAATGTGGTGGGAGGGCCGCAATGCAGATATTGAAGAAGAAAAGTGGCAATGCGAAATCTAGGGAGCAGAACGGCGATGAAGATTTCTGAGAAGAAGTGGAACAATTCGAATATTCCACAATAAGAATCAAAAAACATCGAATTCTCGCTCGAACTTGCGCTCAGAGTTGACGGCATATTTTGATCCGAAAATCATTAGGGTGATTGGTCTTGAACTATGACTACCACACGTATTCGAGAAGGGTGTAGACGCCAAGGTATGATGGAAAGCCTGGGGATGGATAGGCATATGTTGTGATGAAATGAGAGATAATGGAATATGGTGGAATCATAATCAACATAGCGCTTTCGTTGAGTGAGTATGGGTCTTTTGACACGTAGACAAATCGACTCATCTCTGTCCATTACTAGAACACATCGGAAACCCAAAGTGAGACACGAAAGCCTTCCCAACCAAGGTGTCACATTTCAAAATGTTAGGCGTATCTCGATGCCAGTACACTATTATGTATCTGCTCGTCAATTGACCATGACAATGAACAAGAAGATATTGGTGATTGGGAGAATACTTCATACAGTGAATTTTTGAAATTTGAATCAAGCACTAGGATCCAGCGTGATTGAGGTAGCCTCGTTAATGTTCTCAAAAAGGCTACGGAACACTAGAGCCTCACTCCCCAGTTCGTGAAGTTAATGATAATATATTATGGTGAAAATTCCAAATTTCAAGCGCAGCTCGTAACGTCTTTGGAAACGGTCCCTTGTGTTCACATATCTAATGTTATAGGAAAACTTGAAAGTCCTGAGTTTCAAGATCGTAGGGTTCTTGTCTCTCTCTCGTAGTAATAGCGGAGTAAAAAATTCATGCCCTTTTCTGGACAAAAGATGGTAAGTCATTCCTAACTCTGTCGATGATCACCTTTAACCAAGTTTTTGTTTAGGAGAAAACGAATCTTTCCAATATTTTCAAAATTTCAGCCGCCACTGATGGCGTTCCTAATATGAAAGCCTTAGAGATGAGCTCATTACTCGGAATTAGTGCTTCTATCACAGTAAGGTGCCTTTAAAGCTTTGCTCAAATTCAGTCACCTTACCTATGTCTCATAATTTTTACAACTAACAATATCCGAACAGAACAAATCGAAGACTAGACTTGTGGTAACATTTCAATTCCATACAGCACAGACTTTGGACTTCGTGGAAAGTGGTGCGGCGCAAATGGTAGACTAAGAATATCAATTGTTGATAAAGTTGTTTTCGAATCTGAAGATTGATGACAGAATCTTCTTCCCGTTGGATCCCACGAACGACAATCTCATGATATCAAAGAAGTCGACTTGTCTCGAAAACCACCATAACAAGATTACACTACCTGGGGATCTTCGGATGAGGCTCAGAATCCGAGCCATGGATAATGCGGTCTCCAGAAGGGTGCCAGCGTCAGAGAGAAACCGGAGACTATATCGACATGTTCAAATGCGAAATCATAAAGGCAGTCTCCCGCTCAAAATATTTACCTTATTCTCAAAACTTCCCGTGGAACTCAGAGTCAAGATATGGCACATGTCCTTTTTGGAAGAACGATTGTGGTTGATGAGTACCGCAAAACGATAGAAGGGGTTATTGATTTTTTGCAAAAATCGTGTCATAACATCAAGCCCAATTCAACTTTTGATTAATAGGGAAAGTCGGACAGAAGTGAAGCGAAATTATATCATTCAAGAGAATACTACTGCTACTATCCGTGCTCGGGAGGAGTACGATTGCAGATATCTCACGAACCTTGTTCTTCCGGAGAACACTTCCGACCAAGTTTTGGTATATATTATCATCCGAGAATTGATGAGCTATCGATACTTTCCCCTAGCGTCTTCAAGAATGCGATCCTTTTGTGTCTACCAGTTTTTGGCTTTCAGCTTTCTCAATTTCGATACATGCAGACTCTAGTAATTCGTGCGGCACACCTGAGTGCCAGGGACATCGCTTCTTTGAACAACCATTCGCGCGGCAGACAGCATTTCTGTTACAGGAGCTATGAATGTTTCAGTCAAACCCGGGAAGTAATGACGTACCCGAGTAAATCTGTCATATCTACCGAAGATAATCTGTTCTGTACTGAGCTGGGTAGAAGGCAAAGCTTGGAGGTTCTCAACGGAATGTTTAACAAAGCCTGTCAACTTGGAAAGAACGGTGTTCAAGCTCCAAGGATCACGATCTGCCTTGAAGATTTTTAAAACTTTAGTAATAAAAAATAATAAAATCTCCTTGCTTCGCAATATAGGTGACTGTGTGATTTAAGATGACAATGTGAGGGCTCGGACTAAAATTGCTCTTGAGATGATCATTAATGTCGTGACACGTGACGAAACCCGTCAAATAATACACTCTTTACGTAGGAGAAAAAAGAAGCCAAAATCAATCATTCCAATAAATTCTATAATAAACCAACCGATAATAAAATTGTAAAAGTTAATAACATTAAATAAATCATTGAATAATTTTATTTATAAAGTTGTTTAAAATATTTCACTCTCGGCATTGGAATGGAACAGTTGGATTGTTGAAGGGCTTTGTCAGTTATCAATTCCGGCCTGGTTTTTCTCCTACGTATAGACACTAAAGCCGATAGGAGTTGCCACCAGCATAGCGCTATGAGATCGGGGTCAAACATTTGCTGCCCCCTTTATGTTATCGATTTTAGTATAACTCCATACGGAAAGCTTCTATTCTGGGACTTCAAAGGGACCTTGGAATTTGCAGGTACCGGTACTTGAAACATTCCATGTCATGATTTTTCGGATATTACCCCTCGATCTCTCGAAGGCTCAATCTGATTGTTTATGGGATTATCTGAGGTAAGTAGTTTCAGACAATTCTGATCTATCCTATGAAATGCTAAGATATCCGATCAGTATTGGTTTGTTACGCATGGTGTTTTGGAACGATCTTGGTGTGTCGTTTTACAATTGAGTCGTCATCTCGAATCTTGGCAGTTTGAAATGTACAATTTTGCGGTGATGTGACAATGTGATACTTCCAAGAACATTTTATCCTTTCGATCCATCTATATGAACTCAGTCATTTTCTTGAAATCTTAATAGTTATCTAATTGACGTTACTTTGAACTCGACCTGACACGTAGAATTAGCTGCAAGATGTTCTGTGTAATTCACGTACTCACTCTTGCGCTCGCCGGCGGGGCATCAGCTTTCACGCCGCCTGGGTTTGAACCATCTTCAACTAATGATCTTACTGTTGCATATGGCTCTAAGCTTGCAACAAATGGAATCCAAATGTTACGAGCTGGTAAGATTCTTTCCCTAAGTTGCATCGCGACTGCATGCTAACAATTATTCAGACACAGCCAGTGCTCCTGTTCTTGGTACAACCATAAAAATGAGCGGTACCTACGCAGTAATGATGGTAGATCCCGATATCCCACCCGCAACAACTGGGGGTGATACATCACAATTCCTCCACTGGATGCAAGCCGATCTTACTTCATCAAATATCACGACGACTATTGGAGGTCAAAAGATTTACGAACTGATCAACGTAAAGAACACATCCGCCTTCGCTACATATCTACAGCCAAATCCTCCAAATATTGCGCCGACTACTCATAGGTATACTCAACTGCTATTTAATACTACAGATATGAACATGAGTCTAGTTTCCCTTCAAATGGCGGGAAAAACTCGAGGGAGTTTTAATGCTGCAAATGTAGTCAAAAGCGCAAATTTGAAGGTATTGATGGGAAACTCATTCGATGTTTCATTCGGAGACAAAGCCATAAATAATACAGGGGCTTCGAGTGAAAGCTCTACCCAAAATTCCACTTCGACTACCTCAAGAAGTACTACAGCCTAGACTTCGAACTCCATCTCAGCTACCACTAGTCTTGCACAAGGTACTGGTGGAGAAGCTGGAGTGAGAAGTGAAGATAGGGCGCTCCTCGCAGGATTGGGGGCCGGGGTTGCAGCTGTTACATTGATTTGAATAATGAATTGCCAAAGTATTTTATTGCATGTTGTTTATGGCACAGAGTCTTTGTCAATCACAATCACCTGATATAATCTATTTATTCCTACGTATATAAAAGAGCGAACCTGAGAGATTGATTTTGAGATCAATGCTTGCAAATCTACCAGAATATATGGTTTTCTTTTCTGACACCCTTGAAAATTCTTCCATCTAATCGTGACACATTCCAGGGGAGAATCTAACGAACGATAGATATCTTGTTGGTACACCGTGGAAGCAAGCCTAATTATCAATCCGGAACTAGCATCATGAAGGCGATTTAAAAGCTTAGGTGATCGCTATGGACCCGAAAAGAAAACACATTCTCAAAGGTCAAAGTACAAGACAACGTCGTGATTTCACAAAAGAATTTATCTCATTTTCCATACAAAAAAGTATCTCATGACCTGGAATTACAGCCAGTACCTAATTTCTAAAGTCAATCTGGCAACAGATTCCGGTTTCAACACTAAAATTAGACCTAGTATTCCAGAATTACCAGCAACTTTATCCATCTCAATACCCCAACTCTTTGGGAAACACTAGAAAATCCTTAGCCAGAGCTGTCAGGATTTCCTCGTTACTACCTTTACCATCATATCTTTCTCGTAAACGCCGGCGGATCTGTATAAAGTTTTATATTGTAATAAAACCTATTTCTTTACAAAAATCTTTATATTCTAATCATATCGATAAGTTTATTTAATAAATCGAATCAATAAATCAAATCGACTCCCTTATTATGTAATATTTCTTTTTATAATCTAATAAGATTATTACTTATATAACTTATACTTGTTGAAAGATAGATATTTTAAAAAAGATAAATACTTTTTTTATTTATAATTATTGATTATTTGCTTAATTACTTTTGTTTCTAGTTATTTTTAAATCCTATAATTTCTATAATATTGTTTTTATAGGTTACAATATTAAGAACTTGTATTTATATTATAATCGATATCATAATATAACGTGATTTATATGCGAGTGGATTATATCACCAAATAGATCACTTTCACCTCAAATATTCATCTCTCAATTCAATACATATTTTATTAATTAATTAATATACAATTGAATAATAATAAAGCTTGAATACTATTAGCTATTAAGACTATATATAAAAACAAAAAACTCAGTATTCAATAATCTGTTAAGCTATATAATATATTATATATAATATTATATTATAAAATAAATAAATCTATTCCCTATACCAAATTTCTATTTAATAATAATAATCTTTCAAAATTAGAAGAGGAAATTATTATTCAATATATAATTGATATAAATTCGAAAGATTTTACACTTAAATATAAGAGGGTGGAAGATATAACCAATTATATTCTTGATTCCAGAGAAAAGAAAAGAGTTAGAAAGCAATAAGTATATCGATTTGTGAAATATAATAAAGAGCTAAAGACACATTTTAATTATATTTATAACTTTTAAAAAACTCTCTACAAGAACTTTAAGCTTATTATAAATTGATTCTAGTTTATTTCGAATATATAAAACAAATTTAATATTCTTATCGTAGGTCATAGGCTAATAATATGTAATATGGAAGCTGGCTCTGGTTAATGACTAAAATGGATTATATAAGCAGTGTAACACGTGATATTAAAGAATCTGTATTGAATAATGATTTCTCTTATTTTATATTCAAAAGGAAAAAAACCTCTTTTTATGCTTTTTCCTACTAATTTAGCTTTTTCACTTTTGTTAATCTCTTATAGATCTCTTCCTAATCCATTTATTTTTTCGAAATAAAGCCCCTTTTTGTTTTCTTTATTTTATAGTTGTTTTCATATTTTATGACCATTTTCGTATTTTATGGTCGTTTTCGAATTGATAATTGTTTTCAGATTAATAGTTGCTTTTATAAGCTTATAAGCAACGATTATATAATCTGATTATATAAATAAGCTAATATTAGATTGAATACCTTTTTAAAAAGATATATATATTATATTATTTTTAATTAAAATAATAATCCCCTTTAATATATATTATCTTTTTTTTTTTATATATATATAAATATATATATATTAGTTTTATTAAAAACCTTCTTGTTTTTAAAGGGAAAAAGAGTACTAATTTTTTATATATATTTTTATTTTAATAATAATAATTATTAAAATTTTGAATTATATCAATAAATCTTGAAAATTTGATTCTTTCTAATAGCTTTGTTAATCTATTAGCTAATTGATTTTCTATAGAAATCCATATTAGATCTAAATATCCTTTATTTATAAGATCTTTTATATAATAATATTTAGTATTAATATGCTTGCTTTTATTGTAATATATAGGATTATTTGATATAGCTTTTGTTAATATATTATCCATATATAATGGGAATTTATTTTGATTAAATTGATTTAATTCCTATAGTATATGTTTTAAATATATAGCCTCTCTAGCAACTAAATTTATAGCAATTAGCTTGGATTCTGCTATATTTTGTATTACAATAGATTGCAATTTAATCCTTTAACTGATTAAATTATTAGTATATATAAATATATAGTTATTAATGGATTTAGTAGAGCTTTTATTTCCTGTATAATCTGTGTTACAAAATCTTTTGATATATTTATTATTATCTTTTTTATATATAGTTTTAAATGTTTTAGTCTCTTTTAAATATTGAAATATTCTTTTTATAACTATTATATAGTTTTTATTAGAATTAAATATATATCTTATTAATTTTAATATAAAATAAGTAATATCTCATTTAGTTTTTAGTACTAAATATAATAATTTCTCTATTACTTTTTGAGCTTATTTTATTTTATTTAAATCGACTTTATTAGAATTTATTTTTGTATTATTTTTAGCAACTATAGGTGTAGTTATAGGAATGCAATCTTTTAGTTTTAGGTTTTTTAGATATTTATTTATATATTCTTCTTGATATAATTTAATATAATCTTTATTTAAATTGATTTGAATATTTAAATAATCTTTTATTGAATCTAAATCCTTTAGATCTAAATGGTTTTTAAGATTTTTAATAAAATCTTTAATTAGAACCTCGCTAGAGTCTATAATAGCAATATTATCAATAAATATATTTAATATTAATCTCGAATATTTATTTATAAATATATATTTATCTGATTTTATATTAATAAAATTTAATTTATTTAATATACTTTTTAATATAGTATATTAGATTCTAGTGGACTATTTTAAT